TTCCTTCCCACTGTTGCGGACTGCTTGCGGACTGCTGAAGCTTATAGGGAATCCAGATGCTTTGGATTGTTGGGTGTTTCTGTCTCTGCCTTTGTGAAGCGCTATGAGATGACTGTTGTTGTAAATATGCGCTATACAAATAAAATTGAATTGAATTGAATTGAATTGAATAAAATCAGCTTTACAAAGTTAAATATTGAATCACACTGAAAATAGAAGTTTGTAGTAAATAACTGAATTTGATTTGTCACAATCCTGATATATCAATTTGTGAAATTTTGAATTGCACCTTTAAAATGTCACTTGATTCAAACTGCAAAACCTTACTGATATAAACTGTGTAATCTTCACCTCGACATTGTGTCTCTGAGAGGCAGCATAAATGATGACATTATATTATCAGTGCATTTCACTTGCTAGCCAGGCAGCCTCTGTTGCCAGAGAACCAGGTGTGTGCTCATGTGTGTCGGAGAGATAAGACTATGGATTGATGGTTGACAGAAAGTGTTTGTGTGCTTATGTTTGTGTGTAGAAGCAGCAGTGCCTCCGTGGGTCGGCTACAATGAGGAAGAGACAATCCAGCAACAGATCCTGGCTCTGTCTGCTGTAAGCAAACACACCATTCACTACATATAAATGTGTCACCATGTCTGTGGCTGTGTTGCTCTTTGTTATCACTGACTGGATACATAACTGTAATGGTGTAGAATAACTAGCACGTTATGTAGAAACTGAACTCTCTGGTGGCTGATTCTAGGACAAGAGGAACTTCTTGCGGGACCCACCAGCTGGTGTTCAGTTCCACTTCGACATGGAGCACATGTATCCTCTGGCTGCAGTGATGCTGGAGGAAGATCAACTCCTCAACCGGATGCGCTTTGACCTGGTTCCTAAACAGTCAGTAGCCTTCAAACATTGTGTGGTTTTTGTGTGTACAGTTATATTTTGGAGATTATGAGCCTTCTCTGCTTACATTTACCTGTGGAGTCACTATTTAATAATATTCTAAAATGGACAATGTGTGTTTGACAGTGTAAAGGAGGAGGTGTTCTGGAGGAATTATTTCTACCGGGTGTCTTTGATTAAGCAGTCAGCTCAGCTCACAGCACTGGCAGCTCAGCAGCAGCAGCAGGACGGCGCGGACAGTGTTTCACCTGAGGCCGTCGTCTTAACAGGTCAGAAGTTTTAGATAAAGAGGTAGAGGTCCACTTGCATAATTTTAACACTGTCACAGGTAAAGGCATGGATTAAGCAAGGCAAGTTACTCTGTATTGCATAATTCATACACAAAGGGGATTCAATGTGCTTTACATCATGCAATAAATCTTTTTTAAAAGAAAGACAAATTGCCTCATGACAATACAACGCAAATTAAAATAATTGAAACTTTTTCTAGGAATTTATAAAAATTGATCAACGTTGGAACATGTCGAAAATTCTCTGAAAGCTTTTTCCAGCTCTGTGGCACACACAGACTAAGTACTGCTATTCTGTGTTTGGTTTTCATCAAATTTGACTTTTTAAATTAATTGCAGAAAACTGTCTAAATGTGCTTTGTTCTCTGTGTGGAGGGCATCTGTGCTTTTGGGAAACAGATTAGATTTCATCAGACCCTGAAAGCCAAAGAATTCATACTATATACAGTATTACTGAGCTCGGCAGTTTGATTTCGTCAAGATGGATCAGAGGATATCCGTGGTAAAAGTGATTTTTAGGAAAACTATGAAAAGCAGGTCTTCAGTTACAGCCGTCCACATTGTTCTTATTCAGCTTGCACTACAGTACTGTGGATGCAAATCCAACACAGGCCCGTAGTATTTGAGTAAATCCAGAGGTCAACAATTAATAGTACTGTCTTGTTTCTTTGTAGACAATGTCAGACCAAAAACTCCACCAGTTTCCATCAGTGACATACAGAAGGTAAAAGTACTGCAATGTCTTGATATTTCCAAACTATTTTTCTAGAAGTTAAGACCAAGTAAAGCAGTCAGTTACTTTTTTTCTGTCCCATCCATTTGACTTCCAGCCAACTCAGGAAGAAGAGGAGGAGATGTCAACAAGTCCCGGAGTGTCTGAGTTTGTGAGTGACGCTTTCGACTCAACAGCCATCAACCAGGAGGACCTGAGGAAAGAGATGGAGCAGCTGGTGCTGAATAAGAAGGACAGTATCCCTTCTCCTGATGGTCAGCTTTATACATTTCTCTGCATTTTTAAGCGAAATTTAATGCTAAAAATATTGACTGTAGCTGCTCATCCAATTAGGTTTTTATAAGTTTACGACTATCTATAGAGCTGTTTTCGGTAACAGAGGCACAGAGCCTGGGAAGGGGTCATAATATTCCAAGAAAGAACTCAGAATTTCTTAGATGAAAGTCAAGAAAAAAAAACACATGATACTGTCTGAGACAATGCCGTTTTATTCAGTTGTTCGAATTCTCTTCCTCCTACAGTTGTCTTTTCACAACTGTGTGTTAAAGTAATACGAAAACACAACTTGACATTTTATGCAGTGGACTGAGTTTATTCAGGCAGGTGTGTCTCATGTTTCTCACAATACAGTATGAGCAGGACCCTTTTAATTTGCTTGACCTCTAGTTATCGCCAACTATAGCAGTGCAGTGGGGTCAGTGCAAGTTAATTTCTTCATTCTGTCACATTTGCTGGAAAACTGTATCTGAAGTCATGTCACCTCTTAAATATTTTACTCGAGTTTGATTGGTGTTGAGTATTTTCTGCAACAAAGAAAGGAGTATCATAGGAATACTACAGGCAATGGAGTGTTTTTCTGATCCTGCTGTTTTTTTGCAACTTCACATTGCCACTGGTTACTTATAAATCATACTTTAAGTGCAGAGAGATGTGTGATAGATGTAGCATACTTGATAGTTCAGTTATACAGAGTTTTGACAGTCAGGGCCGAAACCGTGCATAGGGTAGTCTGGGACTCCTGAAAGAAAGCGGTCCGTCTTGAATTAGACGTTCAGAGAGGCCAGCCACCGCTGTCCGGAGGAGGGTGACAGGATTACATGAACAAGTTAGGAGTGGTCACAAGTCAAAGGTAGGCCTAGTTTTATTTGTCTCTTTCCAAGAAACACTCAAAGTTTGGGAGGTAGTTATTCAGTAGTGTCTCAGTAAAACCAACTGACAGGGGCAACCTAACGGTGGCAACAACCTGTTGGTTTGTGGATACTTAACAGTGGCAACGAAGCAAAGGTTTCACTGATAGGACCAGTTGCTCGGGTGAACTCCATACAAACTGGTTGACTACTGGAGGGAACTGGGTTCCTTACATTCCTTAGGGGAATAGTGATAAAACTACCAGAGTTGGACAGGGCTCTATAAATCTGTCATAAAAAAGTTGGACAGGACTATAAGACTGCGATGAAAGTCATAAAGAGAGTCATAGCAGGACTTAAAGCTGTTGTAAGAAGTCTGGTAGGACTACAACCATTAACAGTACTGTTTTAGGAAGTGTTGAGGGTTGAGACAAATAAAACAATGAAATAAGAAAAGCAAAAAAAATACTATATATAAAATGGGATGTTGTGGGAGTAAACCCATAGGAGACGCCAAATGCATGCAACAGATCGATCCAAAATCAATAAAACACTTTAAAAAATGGCAAAACAAATACGATTTTGAAGGTGAACTAGATTAAGAAAAATGAAAAAAAAATCAGTATGTAAAAAGAAAAAAGATTAGCATGAAGCAAATAAATGGCTAGAACAAGCAAAAAAGCAAAAAAAAAAAAAAAAGGTAGAGGAAAAAGAGAAGAGAAAAAAAAGAGACAAAAACAGAGAGACCAAATGTTGTTGGAGGACAAGGAAGATATAAATGCTGTCAGCCAGGCAAGGGGACGCCCCCGCCCAGCTGCAGCGCAAGAGCAGGCAGATCAGCCAGCGCCACAAAACGAACAACAGGAGGGAGCTCTGGGGGGAGTAAACAAAGTGCAGGCACAGCCTCACCCCATTCCTCCACCTGTCCCTCACACTTACCCCAAATTGTCAGATCAGGCAAGCAGTCCATCAACATCCATTTAGCTCGCCAATATCGGGCCACACAAGATCAAGGATTGGCAAAATTACTAATCCATTTGTTTCAGGGCAAGAAATGTTTTGGGCTCAAGATCAACCACAACAACAGGGAGCGTTAGATCTGGTCCTGACAGCGTGCAGAAACACATTCCAGTCCCACCCAGACTGGACCAAAATCACTGAAACCACCCAAAATACAGGAGAGTTAGTTCAACAATTTAGAGTGAGACTCCAACAGGTTAGGGATGGGGATTAGGCACCCCGAACCTAGTCAGGAACAGGCAGCGGCAGAATTGCAAAGTTCCGAGGGCACGTTAAAGATGGGATGTAGTGCTGGGGAGAGGACTAAAGGCCCCCTTGTCTGATGAAGTACGAATGAACATACTGCCGTGGTACCGTCTAGTCGGCGCACTGGTCGCATTTAGGTGTGTAGGCCAGGCGTGGTACGTGAGTGACAGCCCACACCTAGCAGAGGGGCGCAAGAGGTGAACAGGCAAGGCTGGTGAAAACAGTCAAAGTTCCTATAGCCCGTAGCAAAGTGGGGTGGGGATCAGACCGTCGGTTTCCAACCGAGTGGCTAATAACCATTACAGGGTCCTGTTCCATGGACTGGTGATCGCTATCGACTGAGTCACCGGCCGGTCGGATCGCAGAGGGCAGTAAGACCATGTTAATGGCCACCACGCTTGGCTCAATGTACAGTCAGGCCGCTATAAGCTGAAACCGAATGAGTGAGTAGGCGAATAGTGCTTCTGTGATCAGTGTTTTTGAAAAAAAAACACTGGGAAGCAGAAGGCTGAGTTGTCTCCAGGAGAGCATGGACGGAGACCTCAGTGGAAAGGGGTCTAGCCTGGTACTGCGCCCTGGGAGAGGGAGTTCCGAAGGACCTAAGTGGTTTGATGCACATCGTGGACTGAAGCCACTGGCAGCTGCGGATGGAAACAGGCCCCTAGCAGCAGTTAAACCCCAAATAGCTAAGTGCGTAAACATATGGTAATCCATCGTACAGGCTCACTAGCCGATTTGCTGCAATATACTGAAAACTATGGAAGATGTTTTAGGGTTTAAGTTCAACAACCAACAAACCCTGAAATATTCTATAGTGACGCTCCAGCCATGCCCTCAGCCCCACCAATGACTGTTTACTGGGCTGACAGACCTGCAGGAAACTATAGAGTGAGGGTTAGAGGCAGAGGCAGAGGAGCTCAAAGACGAGGGCCAAGAAAACCACAATCAGAGGACGTATGCTATCAGTGCAACAGAGCAGGCCATTATGCCAGAGATTGCCACAAAGAAGAAAGTAGAGCATGACTTACCAACCACATGCCTAATACAAAATCTGAGGTGTGGAAGCAGGAGAATGACTCCTATAATACAGAAACTGAAAGTTTGACTGAAATAGAAGTACATTATGTAACAGCATGTGAAATTCTAAAACTAGATGTAAAACCTGAAGTGCAACTAAATGTGAGAGGCAAACAAATAACATTCTTTTGTGATTCAGGTGCTGCCTCAACTGTGATAAAACAAAAAGAATTTCTAAAAATGAAAGCCACAAGTGAAAAAGTATTAGTAAAAACAGCAAATGGAAACTTGCATGTGGAACAATACATAGAACCATTGAAAACAACTGACCCACAGACAGGAAAATCCTGGGTCACAGCAATTCTGTTATCTTCAGCGTGCCCAGTTAACCTGTTGCGCAGAGACCTGCTGGAGGAACTGCAAATTGGTGTTGTTCCAACCCACAAAGGCATGAGAGCTATGAGAATGACATGCCAAAATGTTCTCTTTGAACCTGGACAGCCATACTATTGGTACAGTCTGGACTTGCAAAACAAGGGCCGAGGCAGTATCAATAAAGAATTAGTTAAATTGGCTCAAGAGATCACAAACCAAGTGGCAGATGTAATGCCTGCCGACGAATTACATTGCACAATGTACTACAGAGGAGCACCTGGCCCAGACAAGGATTTCAAGAAACATTTCTTTAAGCATACTCAAGGCACACTGCAGCTGACCCACCTTTACTGGGACGAAAGAGGTCACTGTGGAGCAGCCTGCAAGATCTTATCACCTTTAGACCGTCTGTGCAGAAGTGGCTATGCACCACACGTTTCCTTGACCATGCCAAACTATGCTGACTGGAAAGACATAGGCAAAATAGTGACTTGAGGAGAGGAGGTCACAGACTGGCAAAACAAAGGGTCAGGCATGCAATATAGCCACAGACAACAGTTGTGGTCAAAACAGCTAAATTGGCTCACTCATGGCAAACCAGAGTGCCATATGAGAAGAGTGGAGCCAGCCAGATCCTGAGACTTATTCCTCCTCACAGGAAGGAACAGGAAGCAGACTTATCCTCACTTCCTGACAGCTTATGGGCTACAAGTAAGACAGATGTAGGGTTAATTAAAGAATGCATACCGGTGAAAATTAAACCTAAAGGCTCTCACAGGCCATATCAACATCAATATCCATTAAAAACCAGAAGCAAAAGAAGGTATTAAAAGCACAATAGAGGGCTTGCTTATAGCAGGTGTTTTAGTCCCATGTGATGATTCACCATGTAATACACCATTGTTTCCAGTTAAAAAGGCAGCTCCTTCTGCTGGCTGGAGGATGGTTCAAGATTTGCAAGCAGTAAACAAAGCAGTTGAAGCCAGAGCACCAAATGTGCCCCATCCAAATATGTTGCTAAATGAACTAAAACCAGAAAATACCATCTTTAGTGTTACTGACTTCAGTAATGCATTTTTCTCCATTCCGCTAGACTAACACTCACAGTTTTGGTTTGCATTCACGTTTGAAGGTCAATATTACACCTACTCCAGACTACCACAGGGCTATACAGAATCTCCAACTATTTTTGCTCAGACTATAGCTGCATGTGTAGGGAAATTTGAACCACAATCTGATTTTTAAGTGTTAACCTATGTTGATGATATCTTAATTGCTTCTAAAGATGAAGACAGTTGTAAAACAGACACTCTATCCGTTTTAAAGCTCCTAGCTCAGTAAGGTCAAAGACAAATTGCAATTATGGCAATCTGCGGTTGAATATTTAGGTCAGAAAATCACTGGCCATGGTTGAGAAATTGTACAGGACAGACAATCTGCCATATTAATTCTACCTAGCAAATCTACAC